TTATTGATAGCGATGGATTTATTGCGAACAACTATTCAAGATTTTTATGTGGCTTTATCTTTTGTCGGGAGCCACCTCAGAAGCCACTGGCAAGAGTTTTTTACAGGATGCACGTTTTCAGAAGCAAAGGAATGGCATCGCTAGGCTACGTAACTCCATGGAGACCCCCTAATAGAAAGTTCATTTTTTAAAAAAGGCTACTGGGGCTCAAATAAAATGAATAAAGTGTGGCCAAGAGTCCCCACTTGCTTTTGATTCGAAAGGACCTCCTAAACCCTAGAGCTGTCAGTGGTGAAGAGGGAAGGCTGTTTGGGCCTCTGTGTAAGACCAGGGAGTCCACCCCCTTAACAAAGGTTCTAATGAACCTTGCCTGGAAAGGCAACTTGTGTGGACAGGTCAGCTCATAAGGCCCTTCCCTCACTCCTGAATCAATGTTCCCTCTAAGCTGTGGAGTCTTGTGAGCAAGAATTCTACCTTGTGAGCTACTGGCATTAAAGTTGTGAGCCAGCGATTTGGCTGCTGCATACATTAGTTTGCTCTGGAGCCCTCCTTCCTGAGCGGAGACAAAAATGTGTGAGCCGGAGGGTAAAAAATTGTGAGCTAGCTCACACTAACTCAGCTTAGAGGGAACACTGCTCCTGATAGATCCAGGTGGGCAGCGGCCATGTTGGTCTGAAGCAGTAGAACAAATTTAGAGTCCGGTGGGACCTTTGAGACCAACCAAGGTTTGTTCAAGCTTTCCGTGTGCAAGGCAGACTTTTTCAAATACAGCAGAATGGCCCTGTTAGGTTCAAACTTATAAGTCAACCCTGAGTCTCATGCAGGGAAATGGTTGTCAGTCGAGTACCCCCTTCTCCCTGGGAGCCCCCCCACCTTCCACTTCGGGCTTCCCCCCCCCTCCCCCGCGCTGTTTAAATGGGCAACTTATAAGTCAACCCTGAGTCTCATGCAGGGAAATGGTTGTCAGTCGAGTACCCCCTTCTCCCTGGGAGCCCCCCCCCACCTTCCACTTCGGGCTTCCCCCCCCTCCCCTCCGTGCTGTTTAAATGGGCCAAGTTAGAGA